CCCAAGTTCCATTCCCTTGCTGAAGAGTAGACAGGTACAGGTGTGTCACGATGCCAAGTGTGGCATATTCACCTCCACACACATCTTCCTGCGGCATCTGGAAAGGGCCCATTAGAACTACCAAGATTGGGGTCACGGGTCTCTGACGGTACTTCCTTCAGGGATCAATGCTGATTTTCTGAGTTTTTGTCACCGAGCTCTTGGCCAATTTCAGCAATCAGGGGGGGCTGCATCCACCAAGATTTACCTCCTGGGCTTGGAGCTGAGGTCAAAATGTTTATAAAATATTAACCAAGGGCAATGTAGCATTTTATTGTGATGGGTTTTAATATGAACTGTCTCTTTGGGCATTCACACTTGCTCTGCACATATGAAAAGTTCGCTTCTATTACTATGCATTTTCCCAAGCTGTGTTCCTCAGAATCAAGGAAGGGGCCCAGGTTTTTAAAATGAATGATTGTTCTCATGTTTTATTAAGGTCTTTAGAGTTTGCGATGGGTTGCAGGGGATCAGAAGGTGTATTTCCAGCAAACTTCTGTACCGGCTCTCGTTCTGTCTGTGTAGATTCTTCCGATTTGTCTTTAGAGCTCTTTTCTTGCTGAACTGTTTGCAGGAGGAAATGGCACAGTCTGCCCGGTGGCTCTGGAGGTACAGCTGGTGCCCATTCTACGTTTTGTTAACTCTCTCGCTTGAAAACATGGCCCAGCAGGAAGGTTGGGGTCCCTCAGCCCAGCCTAAGAAGGAACGTTCGAAGGTACTACGTTGTGCACGTGGCCGCCTGGCCCCAAAGCAGTCACGTCTCCGAGGCTGATCCTTCTGCAAGCTCCCCGAGAGCATGGGGTCCCCCCGGCCGCCCTGACGTGGTCATTGTTCAGGATGGAAATCACCAATCTGGGAGAGGTTTTAGTTGTGTTTCTGTTTAAAACTCAAAGCTTGTGGAAGTCTGGATTGCTCTCCTGTGGACTTTGTTGTTTTTTTTTTCCTAAATGGGCCCAGACTCATGAGCTTGGCATTTGGGGTGCTGCCATTTTGATCCAACTTCCTTGTTAGTCTAGTCTTCAGCTGGTCACCTGCCTCCTACCTGCTCTCTAACCAGCGTTTCTGTTTCTGCTTTTGGAAATCTTACGTTCTTCCCTCATGTGACCTGCCTCCGTCTCTCCTTCTGGAACAATCTCTCTTCTCCTCTGACCCCTTCTGGTGCATATTTGTCTGTTTTTTGCAATATGCCTTATCCTCTTGATTTTATGGTTACTTCTTGGAGAGCAGGGGCAATGCCTTGTTCTCTTTTGCGTTTGCCTCGTTGCCTACTAGAGTGATGATAGGCAAACAAATAGAGACTCAGAAAGATATTTATCCGGTCATGGAATTGGAAACTATGGATTTCAGTGACAGATCATATGTGCTTGGGTGTTCAGAATGCCTTTGAGGTAGGAAAGCATTTTGTAACATTTTCAACATTTATATGGGCTTGAAATATTCTTATTGAATAATACAGAAGTAAATGGCATCACTTAGTATTTAAGAGGAGGGATTCTGGGCTTCTATGCTCGAGCTGGAAACTTGCCGTGTGGTTTATTGCTATGTGATCTTCAACAGGATATCTTAATTCTCTGGGTTTCCGTTTTCTCAGCTATAAAGAAAAAATAACACTACGGATTTCAATGAGCATAAAAAGCACGATTATTTTATATACTGCAAAGAAAGAAAAATTGCTGTCGATCTAACAATGATGCAACACTTTCTGTGGCTTAGAAGGAGCTATTGAAATAGCTCTTTTAGATATATTTAAGCTTTTAAAAGATCATGTCATTTCTTAAAAAGGAAGATAAATTTGTTAAGGTTTTCCTAAAGCATCTTCATAGTGAGTCTGAGCCTTCTGAAACATACAATGCATTGACTCAAAGTTGTCGAGACTCATGTTTCCCACCCCCCCCATGCCATTAAAGCTGTTGCCGATGCAACTTTATTACCCCTCCCCCTCCGAGAATGAACTACCATTTCTGTAGGCTTTTCTGCCAAGCTGCTGACACCATTCCTCAAGTTTTAAATGCTAGTGCTTTCCTGATCTTACAAATCTATGTTTGTAACAGAAGGCTTTCAGATAACAGCCAGGACCCTTGTCCATTGAAATGCCAGGTGTCACAGGTGGTCAGCCAGGCAACCAAGTCTGACAGTTGAGTTCTAACAACTGCATCCTGACTGCCTTCTGGCCGGGAGTGATTGTAAGACATATCCCTGTTTCAGGGATGTTAAAATGTAAAAAAAAAAAAAAAAAAAAAAAGTGCCTCTTAGACTTAATAATATAGGATATACTCTGTCTCCCAAGGCTGTAGTGAGATTTAAAGGAGAGAAGGTTTAAATCTATTATTATTGTTGTTGTTATTAGCAGAAGTAGTAGCTATTTTTGTGATTATGGTTACAATAAATTCTTAGAAAACATAGTGGAGCCCTTTAGTAACAGTAACTATCATTTATGGGGCACTCTTTAATGTGATATATCTATTAATTTATGGTTTAATTTTCATATATACATTTTTCTAATTCCCCCCCCCTACTTTTTATTGAGGCATGATTCACATTTAATGAAATGCACAGGTGTTAACTGTGCAGTTCTGTGAGTTTTGACGCCTGTGTTACCGACAGCCTTAACAAGATACAGGACATTTTCATCACCCCAGAAACATGACCCTGTGTCCCTTCTCGGTTGCTGCCCCTCCTTCCCAGATGACTTCTGTTCTGGTATCTTCTACCATGCATTAGTTTTGCCTGTTCTAGAACTTGATGGAATCATGTGGCATATACTCTTTGTGTATTTTTTTTTTGAGATCTATACATGTTGCTGCATGTATGAAGAGTTTGTTTTGTTTCTTTTTATTACTGAATATCTTCCATTGTGTAGCTATACCACTATTTTTGCATTTGCCTATTGATGGATATGGAGGTTGCTTCCAGTTTGGGGCTCTCATATGTAAAGCCAGTATGAACATTTAAGTATGAGTACTTTTTGATTATATGTTTCCATTATTCTTGTGTAAATACCTAGAGGTGGAATTGTTGGATGAAAAGGTAGGTGCATGTTTAACTTTATGAGAAACTGCCAGAACTTTTCTCAAAAGGGCTGCACCATTTTATCTGCATGAGAGTTTCTGTTTCTCCACATCCTTGCCAATGTTGACATTTTTAGTTTAGTTAATTTGAGTCATTTCAATGGGTTTGTAGTAGAATCACTATGGTTTTAGTTTGCATTTTTCTGATGGCTAATGATGTCAAACACTTTGTCATATGCTCATGGCCATTTGTACATCTTGCTTCACAAAGTGTACATATCTCATTGCCCTTTTTTCAGTGACACCATTTGTGTTTTAATTGTTGAGTTGTAGGAGTCTTTTGTTGAGTCTTTTGTCAGATACATGTGTAGCAAATGTTTTTGCCAAGTTTGTGATTTGCCTACTCCTTTTCTTAATAGTGTCTTTTGGTGAGCAGAAATTTGTAATTTTGATGTAGTCCATTTATCCACGTTTTCCTTTTATAGTTAGTGCTACCTGCGTCCTATCTAAAGTTTTTGCCTTTTCCAAAGTCAGCAAGATATTCCTCTATATTCCCTTCTAGAAGCTTAAGTTTTAACTGTTACATTTAGGCTTATTATTTATCTTTAATTAAGTTTTGTGTATGAATCAAGGTTAGTATTTTCCTCATATAGGTAAGCTAGTTGTTACAACACCATTTGCTGAAAATACTTTCTTTTCTGAAATTGATTTGCTTTGGCACTTTGGTTGAAAATCAATTGACCATATGAATGTGGATCTACTTCTGGACTGTCTATTCTATTCCATTGATCTATTTGTCTATCTATCTATATGCCATTGCCAAACTGTCTTTGTGTTTTGACGTTTGATTTCAAGACTAACTTTTTAAGGATTGCTTTGGTTTATCTAGGCCTTTGCATTTTCTTTTACATTTTTCTCTTATTTTATCTTTCTTTAGAGATAGACTCTCACTATGTTGCCCAGGCTAGAGTACAGTGCTTATTCAAAAGCATAATCAATGTATATTACAGCCTCAAGTTCCTGGGCTCATTCTTTTACATTTTAGAATAAGCTTATAAATTCTACAAAAGAGTCTCATGAAATTTTGATTAGAGTTGTATTAAATCAATGAATCAATTTGGGGAAAATTGAAATCTTAGCAATCTTGAATTTCCCAATATATGAATATAGTATATCTTTCTAATTATTTGTCTTTAATTTTGCTCAGTAGTTTTAGTTTTCACTGTAGAGCTGCATATATTTTTAAAAATTTATCCCTGAGTATTTTGAGTTTTTAAATATCTTCTAAATTTTTTAAATCATCTTCTAATTGTTTGTTTTTGATATTTAGACATATAATTGATTTTTGTATATTGACCTTGTTTCCTGTAACCTTGTTACATTCAATGTGCCATATATTTTGCTCAGTGCTTTATAGAATTTCTTATTTGTTCTTACAACCACCTATGATTCAGGTGTCACAATCATTTTTTTTTTAATAAGTGTGTTCAGGTATGCTAATTTCCCTGCTCCAGATCATGCAGTTTGAGTAAAAAGGGGACTAGGATTTTAATTTAGGTCTAGTCTGACTCCAAGTCCCAGTCCCCTTCCATCCTGCTATAATATGTCACCTCTTTCACATTTGGATATTTAAACAGTGTGATACATTGTGGCTTCCCTGGGTTTCACTGGGACATTTTTCACCATCATGTTTCACAGGCATGGCTTAGCCAATGGGATCCCCAAAACAGACATAACAAGAATGAGGTGATAAAGAGCCACTGGTGGTTTTTCCTATTTGAAGAGGTGGGTGTTCTTCCAGTTAGCGTTGCATAGGACCGTTACAGAATCAGTTCATCACTGCAAAGTTCAGTTCCTTTAGACACACTGTGAGTGCATGCTAGCTGTTGCTTGATCTGTTTGTGGATGCCATAAAGCCTGTTGTCTCTCCTTCTCTCCCACAACGTGCTGTAGGAAACCATTTCTGCACAGCTAAGGACCTCACTGAGGAGATCAGATCATTAACGTCAGAGAGAGAAGGGCTGGAGGGACTCCTCAGCAAGCTGTTGCTGCTGAGTTCCAGGAACGGCAAAAAGTTGGGAAGTGTTAAAGAAGATTACAACAGATTGAGAAGAGAACTGGAACACCAGGAAACTACCTACAGTAAGGGGTGCATAACGGTTGCCTGGTGGGATACTTATGACGTTCACTGTGCTGTGTGGCCAGGCCATGTTCTGTGCTTCATGTGGCTGTCACTGTGGAGAGTGTCATGGAACACGTGGCCCTCCTCCTGGGAGACCTTTTTGGCAGGCGCCTTGGCAAACAGGGTGGAATTCACTTGTCAGCTTTTGTTTTGATATTCACATGTGACATCTTTTCTTTTTCTATTTCTCCCTCCTCCTCCCAGCATTTGCGAAGGGGCCTTGTGATTATTTAGAGCAATCTCTCCCTTGGCACAGGTCGTGAGCATTTTCTTCGTTTGATAATTATCTTCCTTTTGTCCCCTGGCTCAGTGCTGCGGGTTTGCACAATCACAGCCTAAATCAGGCTGACTCTGAGAAAATTGAGAAAAGACCATGAAGTGTCTCTTCCGCGTGTGTGCTTTTCTGGGAGCTTCTTTCTGCAGGAAGAATGATGTAGATGGTGCCAGTGCTGCCTTAGCTGAAGCGTCTGCTCGCTGTTGGAGTTAAAGTATTCTTACGTGCTTTTGTGTTCCAGTTGTGAAAAGTAGCTGAGATCACCTTGGGATTTGCACCCTAAGGAATAGTCTCAGAAGATGCTGGTTCAGTTTAAAGTAAGATAGTAAAAACATATTTCTCAAAAAAAAAAAAAGTAAGGGATATCTGATGATTCAGTTTCTAATATGCAGAATGAAATCATTAAAAGCAAATTTAGATTTAAAATATATTATATGCTGGAACCTGTTTCTTCACCAGTAAAGTGAGAAGAATAACATCTATCTCATAGGCAGATTAAGTGGTACAGATTAGTTTACAAAGATCCTGGAGCATGTGTGTGTGTGTGTGTGTGTGTGTGTGTGTGTATGCAGCCTTCTATTCCTGGGAACTAGAAGTTGCTTGAGGGCAGAGGTCATATGTAGCATATCATGGTCCCTAAAGAAATGTTGTTTACTAAAAAAAAATTGACAGACATGTATATGAATAAATGGCTATATTTTAAAAGTCTGCTTATTTAAAAAGAAACAAGAAAAGAAATGGAGCTATTAGAAGCCAGATTTGAAATAGGGCTATTTGAAAATATTCTGCAAATTGAAGTAAATGAAGACTAGTCTTTAAAAACTAAATGCAGAAATATAAAATCAGCTAGCAGAAATTAAAGGCGTCATTTGGGGATGAATATATTTTGTTTTAAAGGCTTACCAAATTGTGTAGAGAGAGGTTTCTTCCCAGAGTTATTTGCATCACAAGATAGCATGTTCAGTGGTTATTGTGTCTTCTTTGCAAGGAGCATCCTTAAGTTGGCTCAATAACTCAGTGTTGATCTTTTCTTTTCACTTTTAAAGGTCAAGCTATGTTTTTGGCAAACTAGAGACTGTACAGTTGAACCTAAATAACTACAGTACTGAGGAATGACAACATGCTCACTCTAGACATTAGAGCCTGGCTTTTTACATTATGATAGGAATGAGCATTGTATACTCTACGTAGATTCTTGCTATTGATTTTTAAATATATAAACAATGAAAACTATGGAATTTCTCTTGCTATCACCACATAATTTTGGACACAAAACGGAGCATATATTATATCTAAGAATAAAGAAGATGTGAACAAATTTGAGCAAATTTAGACCAGCTATATTTTCATTTGAATAGTTGAGCTCTTGAAAGCCATTAATATCTCTTTTAAAAAAAGGACTGTGCAGTATTTTTTTTGAATCTCATCATTGTCACTTCACTAAGTATTTTCAAAATGATGAATAAAACATAAACAAATGGAATGAGGGATTGTTACCATGGATGATTCTAAATTGCAGATGGCTCATTACTGTTGCGAAGGCTCTCTTTATGTTTCATGCTTGGATTTTGCTGGATCAGCTACCCTTTTCCCTATATGTTGATTTCCACGTGCTTTAGGCTGAAGCTAGTTTTTAGCCAATCTGAGGTGACTTGCCTTCGGGTGGACTAAATTAATAATCTGTGGTTGGTGAGAGTGTGGGAAACAATGAATTCCTGAAAATTTGAAGCTTTTATCTATTGAAATGTAAAAAATCTAGGCCAAAGTGCATAGTAAGCTATTTTTGGGTTTTGGGAGTTAAAACTTTAAAGGGAGCTCTGTGTTCAAGTTTCAATGTAGAGCAATTACAAAGGGATATCATGCATATGCATGTACATGCCACGACTCTTTCCGTCTTAGATAAAACATTTTACGATAAAACTATTTAAGAAATCAGCAATATATGTAGTTTTGTTTAAAAAGATTTTGATTTCCAACAATGGTTGTAGAATACAATGTTCAGGAGAAAAAGATAACTAAGGGATGGACAAACAACCCTGACAGTCAGGGCCCTAGACTTTTCTGTTTTGTTCTTCTGTGCCCCACAACATGTGACATTTATTCCAAGATGGCTGACCCAGCCATGTGGATGTCCAATTCCAGCCAGAAGGAACTAAGAATGAAGAGAGCGCACCTATCCATCCCCTTTGAGGACCCTCTCTGGAATTTGTGGCCACCTTTGTTACTGCCATATCCCTATAGATTTAACCTTGTTAATTGGGACAGCTAATTACAAGGGGGACTGGGAACTGTCCTTACCCTGGGCAGCCATGTGCCCTGCTAAAGTCCTGGGTTCTGTTACTGTAGAAAAAGGGGAGATTTGCACTCTTAGGGAATAATGAGCAGTGTGTCTCATACAGAGAACTCTTTCTGACGTGACGTGTATCTCTAATGACTCATCTGAGATGAACTTGCATCACTGATCACTTAAGATTTCCTTATGTCTTGTGTCTCTGGCTAGTCTGTGAGTCCATTGAAGCCAGAGGACTGTCCTTAGGTTTCATTGTACTGCTTCTGTGTCATAAATACAGTATAACATAAATATTTGTTTGTTTGCTGGGGCCAGATGTTGAAATGAAACCTCAGTCCTATCTTCCTTCATTTTAGATTACAAATCTAGACCTTGAATCTTCTGTTTCTTTATTCATTTTCCAATTTAATGAGAGCAATGATAAATTTGATTATCTTTCCTGGAAGATGCTGAAGTTGTGTGTGAGTCGGATGTTCAGATTGGGGTGTCAGGAAACAAAACGATATGGTGATGGAAAAGGAGCTGCAATGTGCCAAAGTCCTCAAGGGCAAAGGGAGACAGACATCTGCACTGAATCCATTGGCTCTTGTCACCATGACACAGGCTCTGAAAAGGAGAGAAGAAAGTGTGCTTTAATGCCCATCAGCTGTTCCTAAGACTTCAGGAGAACACATTTGAATTCTGAGCAATTTTAAGTGCAGCAAAATAGAATGAAAAGCTAAACCTATCTCCCAACCCCTGAATATTTATGGAAATTAACCATAAACCTTTAATTATTGTGGATTTCCATGTATTTTTTAAAGGAGGGTGGGATAAAAAAATCAGTAACTTTTTTTATAGTTTGCTACATCTGCTTTTCAAGAAAAGAGACAATCCTCAGATTTACATAACTGTTTTCCATCCCTTGTGTATACAGTTGGTAATCTGTATTGTACTTTATTAATATTGTTGATTTCGCACTGTAACTCAGATATAAAGGAAGCCGATGTCAAGGGGAGAGATTTAATCACAGAATAATCAGGGCTAGAATTTTAAATAGGACATCATTAGCATGTTAATGAATTTTCCCACCTTATGCCAGCTGCCTGAGTCAGAAAGATACTGCAGATGTAGCTCAAAAATCTGTCTGGGTCCGAGGCCTGGTGAGCTGTCAGAAATCCATGTAGGGGATCTATAAACTACATAGAAGGATTCTCAGTGAGAACAGCAAGTGGCAGGATTTTGTTTTTCTGGGAATCATGGCTGTCTATGCTCAGCTCACATTCATTTGCCTTTGTGGGAGAGAGGGGGAAGCGGAAGGAAGAGAAGGGGCGATCTAAGTGTGACGAAGTAGGAGTAGGGGCAAGTTTCCAAGTATGGTCTGGCTTAGGACCTTCTGCTTTATAGAAAAGCCACAAGTCCACATTAACAAGAGCCTGTTCTTATTTTTGGAACTACCTCATAAGTTTTGAGCTTGCAATAGCTAACGAAAGGAAGTATGGCTGTCTTAGTCTGTTTTGTGTTGCTATACAGGAATACCTCGGGCTGGGGAATTTGTAAAGAAAAGAGGATTATTTGGCTCATGGTTCTGCAGGCTATGCAAGACACATGGCAGCAGCAACTGCTTCTGGGGATTGCCTCAGTCTGCTTCCACTCATGGTGGAAGGGGAAGGGGAGCTGGTGTGTGCAGAGACCATGTGGCGAGAGAGGAAGAGAGAGAGAGGAGGAGGAGGTGCCGGGCTATTTTTAACAACCAGCTCTCTCAGGAACTAATGGAGCAAGAACTCACTAGGAACTCACTCATTACCACGAGGATGGCACCAAGCCATTCAAGAGGGATCCACCCCTAAGACCCAAGCACCTCCCATGAGGCCCCACCTCCAGCACTGGGGATCAAATTCCAATATGAGGTTTGGAGGGGCCAAATAAATCAAACTATAGCAGTGACCTACTACAGCAAGATATTAGCTTCTTTAACTCTGAACTTTATGGGCACAGCTTCTTTCAGAAGTTTACCTATAAAGAAAAGGCTTTCAGTTTAGAAATCCTGTGAGATACAAGTTCTGCATATAGAAGCAATAATTGTCTTTCCATATTCATCACGTATGTGTAGAAGAAACATTCAAGAAAAATTATAACGAAAGAATAAAATCTGTATGTCTCTTTTTTTTTTTGGCAGGGGAAGGAAATGCAGAACTGGAAAAATACATATAACAAAGATATAAAAACAATAAAATTAAGAAATAAGCATAAAATTTAATAACTGAGAGAGAAAAAATGCTAATGACAAGTGTTAGTTATTTTGGTTTAGAATATGATGTGATAATGAGCTTCCTAGAAGCCAGAGCAAAAAAAGACAGTTGAAGTATCATCCACCTTCCTCAAAAGTGACTTTGAAAGCACATGATTTTCAGGGA